AATCGGATCACACCCCCGCCTCCTTCTAGGGACCATGTCGAGCGTGGAGGTAGTCAAAAAATTCAGGGGCTGGCTTAAAGTCCTCAGCTTGGCTGTCTAAGGCCCTTCAGTTGGCGCCCGTCCTCCATGCCCGTTTAATTTTAGCTATTTGATTTCAAAGCTTTGAACAACTGACGCTCTTTCGTGTGCGCAGTACTTCCGCTTATCTGTGAAGAATCAAAAATGCAGGCGCCGCTCACTTAACCAGTAAATGGCCACAGGCGGTAGTGTATTCTCCTCTAAATAACCCTTTTCCAATCGCGCAAATTTGTAATCAGGTTGTGCCTGTGCAATCCCGATATCAGGCAGCCCACCGAACACGGTTTCGAGAAAAAAAACTTACTGAGGTCTGCTTACATAAAAATGTTATTGCCACAAAACAGAAGCTGATCCGTCACCAGTACTTAGTTAGGAGTGAATCAGTGATTTAGGAACGCTAAGTCGAAGATGGTCGCCCTGATAGACACAAGTGAAATTTAAGGCAGTCTTCTAGAGGACATGAGACATTAAGTTTACTTAAAGTATTGACAGTTGTGAGCCGAACAAGCACTCCAAAGCCGAACAAAGTTGCTGCGGGGAGTGTTTCGTATTTCTCAAATTATCACACCAGACTCCCGATTTTGCCAACCTGAATGCATAATTTGCAATGATGGTGATTGCAGGTACTTTGGAGAGAGAGTGTTAAAATTGCAGACCCATCTAAAAAACACAAATCGGCAACTCAGAGGCTAGAACCAAACTCCCATCTGCTAACGCACGTTGGAGAAACCGGACATACTTTAGATTTTCAGAGAGCTACCAACTTAGGCTGGTGCAACTCAAGCGCGGAATGGCTTAGACTTGCGCCGTGGTATTCAGATGTCAATTTCATCAGGAGGCACATTGAACTTCCTGTTGCTTGCACGGTTCTTAGTCATTACGTTCACAAAGTTAAGGACAAGGCGGTCACACAGTTTGACGACGAGAACACCCGACAGAGAAACTGAGCCACCAGACTCTACAGCACCGGCAGTGTCTCAAGCACCCACCCCCCATTGAAATGGTGACGCACACCGAATGCAGATAAACGACCTGCCAAAAAGAAACCAGCGGTCATCCTGAGGCCGATAAGCAGATCACGGCACCTCACTCTCACTTCTATCCGATTAGGTGCATTTGCGCTTTAGCCGTGGTCAGAGGACAAAGTTTCCCGAGACGTTGGCATTACAATAAACCGGTTCCGATAAGCCCTTCTTATTTATCAAATTAATTATTGCGCTTAAACAGAGTCGTTCCGTATCTGGAAAGTTTGCCCAAAAGGTTGCTGATGTAGAAAACACAAATTCACCAAAACTGTAAAAATAAACGCGTGATTCAAGCAGGAGTAAGTTCAAAAAGTCATCAGAAATGTGACAGTTTGGTGTCGGATATGCGCAAAATGCATTTATGGATTTCTACAAAGACGATAGTTTAGTAAGCTCAGCGGGCGCCGCATCGAAAAACGTATGATCAGATAAGGAAGATGATGGATAAGGTCAAGGAATTCGTGTGGCTGATTCTGGCAAAATGAAATTCTGAAAAACTGAGGATGCGAAAGGCTTTGGTCAATGTTGCGATCATTCTCTGTGTTTGGCCTTTTTAACTTACACAGATCTATATTCCGAACTTACTGCCGAGACTGAAGTAAAACACTACAGACAAAAGCGGAATGGCTTCAAAATAAATAATTGTCGGATCCCTACCGTTGCTTTCCAGATGTTGGCGACGGTGTAACCGGGGGCATAGGCACGGTCCATCCTTAATTCAGCCATTAGCGTCAGCGCAACATCCCCATCGCCACTTTGAGCGGTGTCAGTCCAATCAATCGCCAAAGAAATGGTCAAACGACTGTTGCTAAGCCCTACGAGTTCAGCTACACGCCAGGTTTGTTGAGTAGACGGCTTCTCCTCCTGAGATGACGGTATATAAACCATCCAGAAGGCGATTGTCACGCCAAAGTGACAGAACTCCAGTGCACGGAAGCATTGCAAAGCTGCAGTGGAGGGGTTACAGCCTTTAATGCAATCTGCATCCTGGTCTGTTACATGAATTACTGGGTGAGCTTGCGGAACGTCAGTAGAAATGGGAAAGGCCTGGTCCCTGGCATTACTCTGCTCGAATTCGTCGTCGTTGCTAGCTGTTTCCACACCACCAACTTTGAGAAGATTGATGGACAAATTGGAGAGTTCAGGGGAGAGGCGACAGAAGTCGGTCGATACAAGGGCATTCGGGTTAATCTCTCCGGATATCATCGCTTCAAGTTGAGTAAAGTGGCATTCCAGGGTAGGAAATGCGCCTAAATTGATCATAAAAGAAGCCTTAACACAGTGAAGCATGAAAACAGAGTAAGCATCAGAAAATCCACATGCATATTTTACGTGCATGTGTGAAGGAAAATAACCTCCATAATCGCATGCTTTAAAAGCTAGCTGAATATAAATGGGCATAGACTTTAAAGGTAGTATTAATGGAATAAATTAGTCAGTAAGTTGCACTGAACTGCACTTCTATTTTTGGTACTCGATCGCGTTAGAGGCTATGGAATATTTTCGAAATACCTCAAATTAGGTAAATTATTTTGCTGAACTAACTGGAATATTTAACCGAGAGGTTAATTTTAGGTCAAGGTAAGTTTCTATACTGTGTTGAAACGCCAAAGTTCAACTGTAGGAATTTTATTTGCAAAAATACCGGCATAGCTGCTAGTAGATTCAACCTGAGCTTTGAATACCAGCAAATCATCACTCTAATTCCTTGTTTTATAGAAAGTTGCTTGGACACCTTTAATTTGGGAGATCATTATTGCTTTGCTTGTTGTATCCGAAAGAAGGACATACTTTTATTTCACCACTGGTTATAAATGCGTACATACATAATGGTAAGTTCTTTGTCCTTATTTAATAAATGCCCTTTAAAGCCAGGGTCTGGTTTGCAGTCATATATTCATTAGATTAGTAAGGCCTGCAGTTTTTTTTATCAGGATAGCGTAACTAATCCTCTATAAAATTCCCTTTAAATAAAACGGGCTATTACATTTATAAAACTGTTTTTTGAAGAACATTTGTCCCACAAAATAATTTCTGAAAATTAGTTTTTAAGCAGAGGCGGATGCAATCGTTGGAATAAGAATTTTGATCGGCCGATGTTTCGAAATGCATCCCGGATTTAGCATCAGAGAATGTAGCGGAAACGGGTAATGCATACATAGAGAGTTGCAATACTTCGAAACGTTAGGCCAATAAATTCTTGTCCCAGCCAATACATTTCCTCCTTCTCACTTACTACACAGGACTCGCATATTGGTTTGTATTGGTAATTAACTGGCAATTAGTTTTTCAGGCAATTAATTTTTGCTCATTCTTCTCGTGTGAATTTATATCAAAATGCGTTGGCGAATACATAATAAAGGATATCGGCTTGGTTTCAAGTTTATTTTAGACAGATAGATGTAAGGCTGAAAAACAAGAAGCCAGTATGCTACCACATGTACACAAACATGTAATTTCTGTTGAATTCTAATCGGCTTTAAAACTCCGAACAAATTACCCACACAGCATCAAGGCATATTTCAGTTGTTTTCTTACGAACTCGCACGCCTAGGTCTACTCGAAGTTACTAAAAAGCCCTGCTCTGTGAAAGGGCGACCTCCGCTATTGAATTTTTAGTCGCTCAAATTAGATATAAATTGGAATCGCCAGCCCAACTCAGCGTTCGTTTGAAGATGTTTTAGCAAATTTTCAAATATGCAAATACTTGATTATAAAATCACCTGTTGTCGAATATGACCTTATTTTGAAAAACTCGCGGCATTCGGCGGGATTTGAACCCGCATAGTAGGAATGGCCTTTGCGCGAAGCCAATGCTCTACCACTTGAGCTACAAATGTCACGCCTAGCACCGTGAATTTAATCACACAAGTTAGCTTGCTGTTCCGTATTTGTGGCGGTGAAGTTGGGCCGGTAAAATCAATCCACGGTGCCAGGCATGGCATTTGCAGGTCAACTGGCAGAGCATTGTCTTCGCGTAAAGGCCCCCCCTACTATGCGGGTTCTAATCCCGCCAAATGCCGTGGGATTTTCACAATTGGGTCAACTAAAGTAAGCAAATCTACCAATCCTCCTAAATAACTTCACTTTCTGTTTGAGAAAGCATTATGCGTTTCCAAGAACCCTGATAACTGTCCTGACCCTAAGGACGATCATGCAACCTCATTTGGCATAACCTTCTTTTTAATACCACACTTATTTTAGAAATTGAGGGAAAAGGAATTAATAAAGGAACTGTCTTCTGGCAAACAGTCAAATGACAAAGCAAAATGTACAAGCTGTCCACAGGACGTTTGTCACAATTATCGGCTGTGTACATTTTTGAATGATTAAATTTCGGCCGGATTTGCTAGCTCCGTAAGCGTAGCAGTAGTACTGAAATACAATCCATTTAAGCATAACACGTCTATAACTCAGTAACCAATTAACCCACTATTATTCCTGGGCTTGCAAAAATTTGCCAAAGTTTACTCCGTACGTGAATTTCGTCTTCAGAAGGAAAAGAGATGCAGAATAGGGAACAAACCTATATGGATAATTCCGAATTCTAGAAGTTTCGGCTTTGGGTAGAAATATAGCGAGACATCAGAATAGGGGAGCAGATTATTGAAAGCACAGTGCAGGACGGACATATTGCTGCCATTCTTCAAACGGCTCACCAAAGATTCATTACAGATGTCTACCCCGATGAACTGAGTGCAATCCTGCTTGCTCACAGTCATTTCCTGTGACATCAAAGTCATTCGCTCTTTCTGGCACACCACAGTAAAGTTTGTTGAAGGTCCGCGCTCGATCTCAAAGTGGCATGGAACTTTTAAGCAAACCTTTGGCCCATAGAAACGACTTTCAACGGATTCACAGCCTTCATCCTCGATCGCGTGGAAGAGACGCAAGGCCCAGTTATTCCCCTGTAGCCGCTGCAGTGTGACTTGAAAACCCAACTCCGGAATACGAAGAACTGTCAGCGTTTTGCCGTTTTGACTCCTGACTCTGTCTAGTGGTAAAAGCGTGAAGGTGACGAAGATGTTATCCATAAACGTTTTTGGTAGTTGGATTTTATTGTTCATCAGTGTCGCGTTTGAAGGACTCCGGCTGACTGAATTCATCAGTACCTCAATTTGTTCCTGTAGGTACATAATACCGTCGGGAGGAACTCGGTGTTGTAAATATATAAACGAGTACGCTTCAGCGGGCTTCGTGTTTGAAGAGGGTTTCATAACAGAGAAAGAGAAGTCTCGTATAACGTAAGTGGGACTTCTCACGTTGCAGAGCGTTTCATTTACGGGCCTGCGGGCACTTCTCCCAAGGAAAACAAAAGCTGTGTTCCTAGGAGAGAAGAGGTTACCTTGTTGGACCTTCTGGACTGTAGTCAACGGCTCACTAGCACAGATTCGTCCATTAAATCGCATTGTGATGTGAGTCAGATTCCACTTCACCGTTACCTGAGTCCACCTACCAGGCAGCAGTCTAATGTCATCAGCTGAACAGCCATCAATTTGCCAAAGCAGATTTGGTGGTGCCATGAGTCGGGCACCTACTACGAAGACTTGCTTTTGGCTTTCATTTTTTGCAAAATGTCGGTTTTGTAGAGCCTCGTAGGTTAGCATGAAATGCCACGAGGAGTCGGGCGAAGAGGCATGTTTGAGGAGAATAAGCTTGTTAACTGCACAGTCTTCCGGAAATTTTTTGATCGCGTCGGGATCAATGAAGAGCCAAAATCTGTAGATGATACCTAAAAGACATGGAAAGGAAAATACTTCGTTGAACTGCCGTTGCATAATTGTTCCTAAATATTCTCAAACGCCTTCAATAGAAGGGAAAAATTTGGTCTTTTTTGAGAAGATTAAGCTTAGAACTTGGACAGAAAATCTCCCACGCTTCTGGGAACAAACAGAAGTAAATGCCGGAGGGCGAGTTGACAACAATTAAATCTTTGAGAAGGTCACATGAAGACCATGCTCTTGATATGAAAGTAGAAGTTACTGCAGAAAAACTTAGTTAGATACGATATAAATTTGCAAGTGGATGTCTGCATTTTAATTCCCCACATTATTTCTCGATGTGAGCTGGCTTCTTTTTGCCGTGTCTCGACGAAAAGTATTTTTACGCCTGCGGAACATTTGCTTATATCCGACCTTAATGGCTCTAATTCTGCATTCAAAAATGTTAAAATTTTTTCGGAAAAGATGACACTGGAAACGGTCTTCAAGAAATCTACCCAGATGTTTGATGACCAGAAAATGTTCATTTATCCAATTGTTAAAGATTAGGTATACAAAAACCTTCCCACGTCCCAATAGTTTTTTTAACTTGTAGTAAAAGATTATTGTGATCATAATACTGAAAAACGTTCTCATCGAATAAGTCATTACAAAGCCCAGGCGACGCCAACATTACGAAAAATTTCGCACACTTGTGAATATGTTTGAGAATTCTACAACATAGCTGCCTAACGTTCGCACGGCGAATAAATAAAAACATCAGTCACACAAAGCTTTGACCGCAAAAGTTGGGGAGGAATAAATATATAGTAGATTGCCAATCTGATAAACTTAAGGGTTTTTACAAGTAAACTATCGTTACGCAATAGAAGCGCAGGTTGCGTCAGCCAAAGTCTTACAGCAGTATAGTAATGACTCTTTTCAAAATAAGGCATATTGCGGTATATCAAGTAATATTGCGTTGATAAGAAATGCCAGCATTTTTTAGAAAAGCGGAAAATACAGAAAAAGTTAAAATCGGGCGTACTAGGTAAGCCTAAGTTTTAAATGCAGAGGAAGTCTGCTCATGCAAAAAAACCAAATGAATAAAACAGCACAAGTATAACTACGTCGGAAGATAATCGTTTTGTAAAATTTTCAAATTAATGTGCTTCTACATTACATGCAATTAGACGTAGGGCTGCTACCGAGCAGCCCAAAGTTCGGGTATGCATTCAAACTTGGTTTCACGAGAATTCCTATTTGTTTTTTTCTGTTTATATATTGCTTGAGTTACGTTGGACTAAGAGAACCAGATTTTCGCTTAATTGCACCGATTTGGAAGTCAAAGGAATGGAATATTTCGTAAGCTCGCGAGCGGGCATGCCGGTCAGTGACTAATATATTTTAATGAAATTGTCAGGTACTACCGTAAAGGTACCATTTTGAGCACACTAAGACAGATTTCTTTACGTCACATTTCTTTGCCATTATTTCGGGATTTCGATTATGAAGACGTTCAGATTGTCCTTGAAATAATGAGTAAGACTAGACATTTTTTACTGGCTTATATTATATTCTACGTGCTTAGCAAAAAGTTCAAAACAAGATATATATTTAACGCATAAACCATAATTTGTGCTTTTGGGCATTCGTTCCATTGCACCTGTTTATCTAAGTCATGGTTTTAGAACCACCTAAATATTTCAACTCATAGTTGAGAAAAATGAACGTCCGCGTTAAATTCAGACATGAATATACCTAAAACCAATTAGAAAGCTTTCTATAACAACTAAGCTCTTGAAAAAGAGGTTTATTTAGAGATCTCAACGTCAAGTGTTTGCGTACTCTGCCTTTATCGAAGATTAAGTTTCGATAGAAATTGCAAACTGTGACCGTTTTTTGACTTCTTTGAAAATTAGGAATAAATCTTCTGCTGAAAATGAAGGAACTAAATTTTCTGTTTATACAAGAGTAGTTTTCAGTACATTTTATTACATTTAGGTCCCGTCTCACATTGCAAAAGCACGTCATAGTGGCAGAAAGAAGTGGTGATGAAACAAGTTGCATGACGTGCTAGATTTGCAAAAGACAACTATTTAAAATAAGTCCACTCTTTGTTTCCTGAAAACAGTGCGTTGTCCCATATTTCTCCTTAGCTCAATTTCATGATCGCAAAAGAATATTTTCCGTTCTCTGAAAATCTTTGTGGCTTTGGTTAATATTCTTTTATATTACAATACGCACATTCAAGGAGTTTTGGCCGGCAGCTTTTAATAGCGCACGAAATTCCTTGAATATCGACAATCTTTGGATTTTGCCAAATTTTGCGCCTATCCCCCTTCGACAGACTGATCTCAAACAATTTTTTGATTCTAGCCAACAGTATTTTGCGCCTCAGTCATTTAAATGTATAAAATACAAAAAACTCAAGTGTGCGTTGAACCATCCGCTTAAATTCCGATCTTCGCATTTCATCAGTTAGGTAATTGACTGTAAGCTTTTCCAATTGTAGGCATTCCTTGAATCGGAAGTTTCTTGCAGTTCCTCTGTGCCAAAACACGAAAGGAGCCATTTATAAAGTCTACTGAGGTGCACTTTAAAAGGCAAATTGTTACTTACCCAGAGACATCCAAACACCCAGCGGACGACATTTATGGCGTAAGTTCAGAAGGTGGCATATTTATTCTGACTTTCGCCTGAGCGCTCTTTATAAACACATAATAATAAAACACGCATCCCCTTATGTGACCGGCTGGGAGCAAATTGGCGTTTTTTCTCAGAACCAAGTCATGTTTTGCCACAGGACTGCGCTGACCTGTGTATTTAAATTGTGTTCTATCGTATGCTCTCTTTAACGTTTTGAGCATTTTCCTGATTATAATAGCTGGAACAATATTGCCTTCAATTTTGCTATTTATAACACGGTGACCAGGCAGTTTATTTTTGAACTGCGTTCGGTTCGCATGCAAATTCAGGGAAAATGACTCAGGACGCTGCAGCAAATCTTGTCTGATAACAATTTAAAAACAAAGACACTCTGGCTGCACAGACTCATTTATGTATGCCTTATAAACTTGAAACAATGTCCCGGGAAATGCACTTGGATCCGTGAGTCCTGACTGAATTCTTTTTCTACTAGGTCGCTTTTTTGCGTTCTTTAGCAAAAATAAACTTCCCCGTTTCGCAGCAATCAATTTATTCACTACTTTTGATATCAGTCCACTTTAAAGTAGGTAAATAAGGCACCTTTTTAAATCTACAATTAAACCCTTATGCTTTTTCGTCTCTAAACACATCTAGTATAACCCATGGCCGGAGCGTTTACGCTGCCTATCAGTCCTAGCTCTTGGAGGTTCAGAATAGGACATCGCCCAGTCTTCTGAAACCGACTCACATCTGCCTGCAAATCTAGTTTAGTATTTTCCCTAAGTTTGCCTCCTTCGACATCCTGAATATTGAAATTTCCTGCCATCAATCCTTCCTTCTACGCTCCTGTCCTCACCAGTTTATTGTCAAGCAACTATCAATCATGTGATTCTTTTCTCTATAATAAACCTTTGTTATGCTACTACTACTACTACTACTACTACTACTACTACTACTACTACTACTA